CACTTCATGCAACCAATAGACAATAATATTGCATCAGTCCTTACAAAAGCAGAACTTTGCTGTCAAATTCCCATTCCTCCGGGGCAAAAAACTCACAGGCATAAGAGAAAAAGCATTTTGCTAAACCAATGATGATTGGATAGATGATGAGGAATTTGATTTCATAAGTAAGGCATTAATTCATAGGTTGGAAAAAAACATGTTAGGGTTTCTACTTTTTATTTAAGACTAGCTACTCTCGATAATATTGAAATCTAAATTAAATAGTTGTTAATCTAGAGAGAGAGAGAGCATTTTACAGACCTGGAAAACCTAATACTCCTGCGGACATTGATTTCAGGCTTTTTTCTGCCCCACTTGGTTCAAATAAGATTCATGCACACTATTATTGCGAACGAGAACAAAGTACTTTTCACAACGCAGCACGTAGCAATGTGAATAAAACGTGTGCCAATAATTTCTGTACTTTTTATTTTATGGGCAATGCCAATAATTTTCTACCTTGAAAAACGTTCTTTGTCATTATTATTGTTATTGTTTTATTCCCCCTCCGCTTACAAGCTTTTACTTTTTGCTGTCTCTCGGACTGTTTTGCTTTTTCACTTTCATGTTTTACCCTTTGAAATACATATAGAGATATTGATCGAGCGAGATTTTTTGTGATGATCATAGGCATACGCTAATGCTAATGATGTTAGGTCTTTGATTCTACAAACTGTTGGAGATATGTATGATGTCGGTCAAGTGCCCTAAGACTAAGGGTTTGTGTCCTCGAAAAGTGCTTCAGCAGGTCATAATGATCTTAAGATTATGAACCATAAACTTTCTTTTATATCCCCTCTTCGATATTTCTGTTGATTCTTGTCAACACAAATTATAGATATTCACGAGGGTTGAAAACGTAGGAATAGTTTTCAAATGTTTGGATTCGTTGATTATTATGATGCATAAATAAACTTTAGAATATGATTTAATAATGCAATGCTTAATTGTTAAGATGTAAATATTGTTCTTTTATTAGGTAAATAGGTAAGTAAAGAGAGAAAGAAGAGGAGGGTCCGGAAAAAGGCAAGGGCATTTCTTGTTAGTGGATGGAGTTGCTCATAATTCTAAGCATTATAGTAAACAAAAACAAAGCATATGTGACAATCAGAGAATATGTGTGTGTGCGCGCGCGTGTGTGTTTCACTCCAAAAAGATAGCGTTTTATCTGAAACAAAGAATAAGAACAAATTGTGTACAATCTTTTTTTTTTTTTTATTTAAGGAAAAGCAGTAGAGAAAAAGCTAATGCATTTTGCTGAAAAGTTTTATATTTTGTTTCCTTTGAATGGCTTTTTGGTTGGAATCCAACTGATAACGTTCAGTTAAGCAGCGGATAACATTCAAGCAAATGGTCAGTGAGACCAATATTCTCTGTAAAAGGTGAAATGAAATGAGAGAGAGAGAGAGAGAGAGAGAGATCCACTAACATGAGAAATGACCTATCAAAGCATACAGAATCTAATTGATCAACTTCATCATCTTCTAGCTGGACTCAGCTTTCTAGAACTTAGCGTCGAGTAATAGGCACTGATCATAAAAACAAAGTCCCCTCTAAAGCTTTTTGAAGCCATCATTACCATTGGAATATTTTTGTTAAACAGAAGGCTTAGGTATAATCATGCCTTGTCAGGCTCCTGAAAGCATATATTACCAAATTGATAGAAAGTGTCATCACACACTGTATGAACACAGAAAACCTTATTAGGCATCCTTCCCAATTAGGAAAATTGAGATTATTATTAAACCAAGGATCTTAAGGAAACCATGATTGGTTATTATAATTTCTCAAAGTAGGGTTTTTTCTCCCTCTCCTTTTTATATTTCTTTTTCTGGGGTGGGAATAAAACACAACCAACCAAATGGGTGAACTTGGTTGAGGCCACAAATCACATGGCAGAACCCATGGAATGAGTTTGTCGGCTACTTTTCAAAGCCAGGATTGGAAGCCTACTGATAATAACACTATGAACTTAGGCACACACATTTTGATTATGGTCTGCCATATAGCAGAGGATAAACATTAATCCAAAAGGTTGAAAGCTAGCCAACATTGACAAGATAGATCATAGACCTGAAAAAGAGAGGAACATCCTCCTTGTTAAAGTGTTTTACTGTGAAGATGAATTTTTAGGCTGAAGAGATTATGGGTGTGTTTGGATAGAAACCAAACCATGGTTTCAGAAGTGCTTTTACGGATTACGAAGTAAATATATGGAGGAGATTATCTCGTTTTGCGAAAAAGTGCTTCTGAAACCACGGTTTTGGGATACCCAAACAGGCCCTATATCAACAACATATGCTAGTTACTATATACTTCAATATATATATGTGTGTAGTTCTTCTTTTATTAGCTTTATACTCATATAAACATAAATAAAAATATATACTGATTGTTTTTTTAGTTAAACTTTGTGAAGAAAAATGTGTGTTTGACGCTATGCATTAACATAAAACTAATCATATTCTTGTTTATTTATGTATTGACATTACTAGATGTCCGCTCCACAAGAAATTTGAGGCTGAAAGTCTCACTGTTCATGACTCAGCTTTATATAGTTTATATATGTATTAATTTAATTCTAGCTAAAACTAGAATTTCTTTTATGACTGAGCATTAGGTTCCATAGTAGGGTAATAAAGTGGTAAGAGTAATTAACGGCATATATTATAAGGTGTAGGGATGAGAGTAATTGATGGGGTTTGTGGATTTCTGATCCTAAAGCTTATTTAGATTCCTAATAATGGTTATATTTGGTTCTGAAATGAATGCAAGATAGAAAAGAAGGAAAGCAAATGAAAAGTGGGTTCAAAGTTTGAAGAGGGGGGGATGAGTTCATGTCAAATCCTCCAAAATGGCCTAGTAAAACTAAAAAACCTTTCAGCCCATCGTTTCATGTCGCCTCACAGGGTACCTGGTGGGACCTTCAAACGCGAATGCCCGCTTGACCTCAAGTACGCCACAAACACTGTGTCTCTCTTTTAGATGATGATTGCTGCCACATGAAGCAGTAGGACTAGTAGGGGCACACTTTGCTCTCACTCTCGCACTCTCTCATCTTTATTTTATTTTTCCTTTCTTTGTTTATTCTTTTTCTCTGTAACATGGCAGATATCAAGCTAAATTCTCTCTTGAATCATCTTTTAAAAGTACATTCCTTCATATCAGTTAAAGCTAAGATGGGATATCACAGAAATTGGACAAGTATAAGACTAGGATGAGATATTCTATTCTCTGAGAGCTAGCTGGCATTTCTTCAATTTTTGTGTGCGAGAGGAAGCAAGAAAGAGAGAATTTTTGTGGGACAAAGAGATAAATATTGGGATAATAAAGGGGGGGGGGGTTAAGAGTTAAGACCAAGGAAGGTGGGGAGCATATTGATGTAGAGGTTGAAAATAAAATAATGTTTGTAGGCTACTAGGCTGCATAACTTTGTTTCCTCCTTGCTTTGAATCGGGATAGGGAGGGATTACCATATTTTCCAATATAAACAGTTCTAAGAGAGGCTTGTGTGGACCATTGGTGTTTGCCTTTGCTTCAGATGCTGCATTGTCTAGATAGTGCTCTCTATAGTGCACAAATATTTAAAAAAATGTTTTCTTTCTTCCCTTTTCATTTCTCCCAATGGTTTATATTTTGACCCATATCAGGTATAGTGTTGAAAATTAGGCAGATTGAAGAGGTTGTCCCAAAAAAATAATATTCTTAAGTAGACTTGTTCAAGCTAAATCAATTATAGAGCGATATCCTATACATCTATTCATTTTGAGTAAACTCGACGTGTTTCTTTCTCCCATCATATTGTTTATGAATGATAAATAATATAACTTGCTACAAATTTTATATTATATACTGATATTGATTAGGTATACATGGAAGATATTTTGGTTGGCGCCTAAAGCAAATGCATCTAGAAAGAGTGGTGTGTCATGTCTGCTACAATTGACCCCTTGAAAAAAAAAATGGAAGTAAAGAAATGCATAATTATGTCTTTGTGAAGAACTAGCTAGTTTGGCCCCCCCCCTTTTCAATCTCTCTTGTTTGAGGGAAGAAGTGGATGAACATTAGGAACAAATGAGTTTGCCCCACAGGCTATCTTCTTAAATGAAATCACATTTTGGTGTTCCTTGGTAGGTATTGGTTATAAGTGCCTAGACACGCTGTTTTGACTGTGAGCTAGCAGCACCATTCCTCTTGTTTGTTATTATTTCTCCATATATATGCAGGTATACTAGTTGGGACAGGGGAAGGAGAAAGAGGAGCCCTTGTCCTAATTTAGAGTGTGAAGGACATAGAACTACGTGTCATAATTTCCAGTTTCTTAGCCTTGCCAAGTTTCTGACTTGGACACCATGTTTCTTTGAACTTGAAAACAGAATTTTTCAGTGAAATGAATTAAAAAGGGATTCCTAATGGACATAATGGATATTGTCTTCACTGGTAGGTCATGCAGACTAACAATCCTAGCTATTCATGTGATAGGGCTATTCCATAACCACGAAATGTGTCACACATGGAATGACCGGATCATAATGAATGGCTAAGATTTGCACCCTGTTCATGACTTGTAGGGAGAGATTTAACTGAGATTCTAAGCACTATAATTGCTAGCGATTGATTATTGATTCATTGGCAAACAAATGTTAACCTTCGATGCTGTTAAATGTTGTGGGAACCTTGCAACTTGCAAGCCAATAATTGCTTGAGACACAGCTGAAATCAGCTAGTCATTTTCTTCAAACAAAAACTGTTTTTTATGATGGCATCCTTTGACTAAAACAATCTTTTTCAGAAAGCGAACGCTTAGTAGAATCTTGGTAGCCATGAACCTTATTTGTGTCGCTGCCTTTTTGTTTCAAAGTGGGGGTGGAGCCAGAGTGACTCATCAGCCAATTTAGATGGTGATGGGAAACAGAGACATATCCGCAGATTTACACAGTGAAATACCAATCCCTCAGTTATCAGAAACAGTTCTTCCATTGGAAAAATAAAGGGATATCAGGAATCAGAATGATTAAGGGCACCTTACAAGGCCAAGCAGAGTTCCAAAAGTGTACTAAATACGTAACATCCTCAATAAGGTAGTGTTACAAGATATATGCACGCTTGACAGATATTAAATCACATGTATCTGGGACAAATCTAACTATCCAAACCTAATATTTAAGAAAATAGAAAAAGCTAGAGTCTCAGAAAAGAGGCTTTCTCCTCCCCATCTTCTTTTGTGTCCCGCAAGTCATTTATCTTGTGATTAAATGCAGAGACTTGTTTCACGTTCATCTTCAGCCACCCAAAGGCCAGAGACCGCCAAGAAACAGGGCTGATAGTTTGCAGCTCTATTCAAATATTGAAATGCTTCCATCCCAGGAGCATGAAGCAATAGCGTTAGGTATAACAGGATGGAAAACGACATCTATGCATGCTTGGTCAGAGGTCTTGATTTTCTTTACAACGTTAGATGACTGATAATCGTAAAGATAAATAAAACCATCTGAAGAACCAGAAGCAAGCCTCTTCCCATCCAAACTGAAATTGCACTTTATGGGGAACCCGGAGACCCCGTGGCTTTCATACCTCTTGTACTTGTTTAGCCTGAAAGGGGGGTTTGTTGCAAAAATTGCAATGTAATTCCCATTTGACTGGGCAACAAAAGTAGACTCAAATGGATGGCGCCTCACACATGGACAGGTATAAGCTTCAACATAAACCTGATTCAGAAGCACAGTAAGCTTATCTAAATTCAGAATTTACAAAGACATAAAACAGTCACAAGACTCATAGCAATATTTGCAAGTACATAAGGTCGAAATAGTACTGAATACATCATTCAATAATAATTTGACATGCCACTACAATTTCCATCTAAACTTCACTTCTGGATTTTCATGTAGTTCTTCTGGTTGTGTTCTGTTGTGGGGTGGTTCATGCTAATATCAAACACTAGCAATGCTGCTCACATAGAGAGTGAAAAATGAAAACATAATACTGAGATTTGAAGAATGTAGAGGAATCTCACCTGATTAGATAACGGAACCTGTCTGGACACATCCCAAACAGTAATGGAGTTCTCACTGACATTACTCCCAGATACATCACTGGAAGAAATGAACTGCTTCCCATTGATTGTAAACTCAACATCCAAAATTGGACCTAAGTTGCGATTAAAGCTATGGACTACTTTACCAGTCCTGATATCCCACAATCTAATATGGCCCTTTGAACCGCCAGAAAGAAAGAGGTTTGAGTTTTCTGGATGAAACTTTACAACTCCGACAATTTGATCTTCACTGAACACCTGAGTCTCTAACCCCTTTTCGACATCAATCAGCCTTGATTTGCAATCATATCCACAAGAAAGCAGAGAGTGCCCTTGCTGAGACCATTTCACATCTTTCACTGCTGCGTTGTGGAAGTTTATTACACGTGCTTTCTTTTGATCTCTATTCCACACATTCCAAATGCAAACCAAATGGTCCATCCCGGCAGATGCAAGGAGATGAGCTGTAAGCTAACATTTTGAACAGGTCAATGCAAATGATACACAGAATGAGCATAAAGATCAATACTTCTTCAATAAGAAACATTTAAAAGATATTACTCTCTCTTAAAGAAGACTAACTCACATATCAAGAGAAAAGTTTGAAAGCATCAATGAGGAAGACTTACCATAAGGGGGAGACCATTGTATAGCATTGACAGCTTTTGTATGGCCAGACAGAGTCACAGATAGCCTTTCAGGTATCAGGTTAAGATTTTGACAACTTCTAGCTTTATTTCTCAACAATGATAAGATGCTAGGAGGTATATCGTTATCCAAGATGCTTCCTAAGATTATGAACAATAACATGTTATAAAATGAGCGGCTTTTGCCAATGAAGTTTAATTAACACAATGAAACCATGTACAAGAAACGGTCCATGAAAGGGACAAAAGTTATCGAGAAATTGAAAACTATGCAAATTCATCACTCGATCACAGAATACAATGCTGATGTGCAAATGCCACAAGCTTTCATCAAGCAGCTAGCCAGCTACTTATCGGCTAATTTATTTCCCTAACTAGCAGTGCATATCTTTAAACGGGAAAGTGGCATGAATTATTTCCAGAAGTTGTATTTTAGCAAAAAGCCATAATACAATCAAGCTCATGTATTTGCAATGCTAATGGACGTAGATTGTTGTATTATCAGATGCTGTTTTTTACATGAAAAAAAGAAGAGAAAAAGAAAATTCCATTTGAAGGAAAGAGGTAAAAAGGAGAGACATCCTCTCTAGCCAGGAAGAACGAAGTCAAAGAACTACCACAAAAGAGCTGGTGAGTCCCAATATATGTCTAACAAAGGGATTCCTAGTAAAACTCACAACCTGAACAAGAGAAAAGTGACAAAAAAACAACAAAATAATCCCCGAGCAAGCAAAGACATTTACTTTAAAAACCTGAACATGTAACAACTACCAAGAAAACCAGAGCATTCACAGCACTCTGCCATAAAACCTTGCCTTCCTTTCTACTGTGTGCAAACCTGGCATTCCCAAGCCCCCCGCAAAGCCTAACTAAATATAGATGGAAGGCTAGGAAATAGAAACATAATTGTGTAGCTGTTTCTGAAACAGAAAAGCACTTCACTGACATATTTAGAGTCTACAAAGCCACAACACTCAGTGCTACTATCCAAGTGAAGAATATGAACTTGAAGGGGTATTTTGTTCAATAGTGATATTTCAAAAAGGAAATTCTCCTTTTTCAGAAAATCAGTAAGAAACCAAAAGGGAAAAATTTGCCATCCACATGAGAACAACAAAGAAGAAGAAGGATTAAGCAATAGCATGTAACCCTCATAGTTAAGACTCCAAATCGTCAAATCCTATTGAAATGTTCCATCGACATAGAAAAGTAAATATCCCATGTTTATCCAAAAACACACACACACATCAAGCACCAACCCTGCTCTCACCAAGGGGTTTTGAAGTATCTGTTGTTTAATTTATTTGTAATATATTTCTTTAAAGAAGATGTTCCAAAAAAAAGAAAAAAAGAACTGGCAACTTTTACAGATTAACTAAGGCAAAAACACCAAAATGACGACGCAAGAAAATATAAAAATACCCGGTGTGCAACTTGAAAAGTTGCACCATATTAGGTGAAAAAAGATATGGAAACAGCTCCCATTTTCATGTTTACAGTGTACATCTAGACTGGTTGGTAGCTAAGGAAATGGACAAAATCATCGATAAGCTAAAATAAAAAAAGCTAAAGTATACATTTGATCTTTTAACTTTGTATAAGGTTTCAATTTGGTCGTTTAACTTTAAAAAGTATACTTTTAGTCTTTTAACCCTAAAATTTTTTAAAAAAATGATGACATTAAGATCTTAAATGTTGATAAATATTCTCAAATGCCAACATATTGAGTTTAATTTTCGAAACATCCATGATTGTTACAAAAAATAATCATTAGAGCCTAATGATTTTAGGGTTAAAGGATCATATGTATGCTTTTTAAAGTTAAGGGACCAAATTGAAACCTTGTACAAAGTTAAAAGACTAAATGTATACTTTAGTCAATAAAAAATGCAGTTATGAATGATGAATCAATATAAAACAGAACTTTTTTGCCAACCAATATTAAGCAGAATCAAAATTCAAGATTTAGCAGATTCTGCATTCCCTGTTCCGGTCAATTGAATTCGTCACCGCGTACATACTAGTGAAAAGAGTTCATCCACATTGTTATCGGGTAGCGCAAAAAGAACGCAGGATGAATCAAAGAAGCAGTTCTAGACATATCGAGTTTATCTACTATCATCCCAATTATTTTCGAGATTAAGTTCAGCAAAATATCAAAAAACCCCAGAGTGAATAAAGGCGCGCGCATCATCTGCAACCTTATTAGTTACAAAAGCTCACACAATGCCAGCTCAATCGGAGCCAACAAAAATGATTAAGAAGAAAAGGATAATGTGACAGGGAAAAAAAATTACCAGATAATGTTACAGAAGGCGAGACCAGAGGTGGGTCGGGAACAGTGGGATCAACGGCTAAAAGTGCCCTTTGTCGCTTGGAAATATATCTGCCAGGAAGCGAAGATTCCGTTTGGAGCTGCGAGCAGTGGTCGATAGGAGGAGGAAGATAGGGTTTTGGCGGGTTGGAGGAAGAAGGCGCAAGCTTCTGACGTTTCGGTTGATCTTGGTCATCATCAGACGCATTGCCATACGCGTCGCAGAGAAGATCCATGCCTGCTTCTCACTTCGATTCCTCCTCTGCGCAAATTTTTGCCGTTACATAACGCGCGCGCGCACCCCCACACACACACACATTGCGAACGATTTTTGCCACTATAATTCTTTCTTTCTTTCTTTCTTTCATAAGGACATACTTAACATATCCAGCCCATTTGCTTTTGTTTTAATGGTTTATGGGCTTAGTTGTTTTTGTTGTTTGAACTTAGGACTCTGCTTACGGTTCTTTTTAAAAGGAAAATTACTTGGGCTACTTTTAACTATTGGGCTGGTCCAGACTGGCCCATGTTTGTCTTATCCTATAAGTCCAAACTATTTGGGCTGATGTGAAGCTTTACTGATAGAAATTACAGGAATTTCTTTGACAATTTTGTGATGAAATTTTGGTGGCAAATTATATATAAATTAATGAATATTTGATAAAGCATCATATATGATTCATTGTTGAAAATAAATTTTTACAGAAAATTACATACATATAATGAGATTTAATACCATTATCTTTAATTTAATACAAATCTACCCCTCTTTGATTTTGTTAACATACAAAAGGGTTAAAGTCTAAAAACAATAAGAAATCGTTTGCATTCGCAAAGCATAAATATGGAGAAAGAAAATATTGAAAAAGTGAAAAGAAAAAGGACAAAATGGAGCGTACAAGAGGTTGACTTGGGAAGTCCTCCGCATCATGTTAGTGGTCTGAGCAATGGCCAGCAGTGTGGCACTGAGAGGAGTAAGAAGTCCAGATTCACCGACAGCAAGGATTTTGCACCACATTCCATCATTCACGGCTTATCCTTCTCATTTCTTTTTCTACTGAAAATAAAAATTAGGTAAGTTGGAGTCACAGATATGCTCTAGGATTACCTACCAACAAAACCCTCACATGAAAAATTTAAACTCATGATTTTATAGATTATAAGTAAATTTCTTATTAACTAAACTAATTTTTATTGGCTATCCTTGTTAACTCAAGGTTGGGTCTTAGTGGCTACTTACTCTTTGGGCTTTTGCAAGTTGCTCCAAAGCTACATTCAACATAAAATCCCCCAAAATCGAAGGCCTCCAAAATCACTGGCTTAGTTTTTTTTTTTGTTTCTTTTTATTTTAAATTAAACAGATAGGTGCTACCGGGTTAAGATTATACATAATACTCATCTGATTTTTAATATAAGACCTATTTAACAAATTAGATTAAATTAAAAAGCTAGATAAGTTAGTTAATTATAATAAATATGATATATTTTTCCTAAAATA